ATTTGGATCTTTCACCTTCTGACATCGGAGCCTCTGTACACATTTTTACCAGACCAACATCTATTTCACATCATCTAATAACACAGCTATTTCAGGAAAAGCTGTGATTGGTGGAAAGAACAGTAGGCCTCCTCATCTGCTTGCCAGGGAGTCTGAGGGCCTCAGGACATGATCAGATGAGCGCTTTTCAGCTGCAGTGCCTGCGTTAACTGCCTGGATGGAGATAGGCTCAATTCAATTTGAGGCAATTCGTGTGACAGACGCAAATGCACAAGAGTCATGCATTAAAGCAGATCCTTGGAGAGAAATAGTCATTACCCACATTTTCTAATCCTACAATTTTAAAATGATGAGAAGGAAAACAGACCTACTGGGGGAAGAGGCAAGCGTGGAGCAGCACTGCAAGCAGTGGGAACAAAAGGCATGGTGTTGGAAAAAGAGAGGCTGCTCATGCAGAGGATTACATCAAGAAGCCTTGGAAGGAGTGCTGTCCTTGTGTTTCCTTCCTGGGTCTGCAGATATCTATTGCATCTATTGGAACTGGGGTCCCAGGGCAGTCTTTGGGTTAGCGTTGAAATGGGGATCCCAGATGTTTTGTTTTAGCTCTGAGCCATCTAGCCCAGCCAACAAATGAAAAGGTGTAAAATTGTGTGGCATAAAAAATTTACATGACCTTGGACCTTTGGAAAAATGATCTGAAGATTCTGGTGGTATCTTAACTGCTTTCTTATTATTTTACAAAGCATAAAGATGAAATTAGTTTATGCAATTTGAAGAAAAATATACCAATAACTGTGTTTACATATAAAAACCAAAAATACCAACCAAAACTAACCCCCATTCTAATAGCTTTAAAAAGTGATTGAATACTTTTATTGCTCCTAAAAAAATCAAAGTCACTAGTATATCATTTTGTACAAAGCTACAAACCCTTGACTGTCTAGCCATAGTTTAATATCATTGTCAACTTTTAAAAGTGCAAGCTAAATTGCATAAAGAAATTGTTATTGTTTTACTTCATGAAACAAATATTCTTCTATTTTCCTCAATTTAAATCACTTTAATTTTCTTTAAAAGAGAAAAAAGATTCATATTATAGTAATATCTAAAGTATACAACTAATATCTAAAACTATGTAACTCTGAACTTATTCCTCCAGCTAGCTAAGTCTTCTGCTTTCTGCATTCTCCTTTGAAATGCATTGATATGGCTGTTCTTCCTGGAGGGGGGGAGGGGCATGCTCAAGATACTTGGAATGGGCATCACTTCCAAGTCCAGTGCTTTCCTCTCCCATATAAGGCACATAGGCAAAGGAATTGTCCAATATCCACAGTCTGAAAATTTTCCGTCAGCCATTCTTCTGGCAGTTAATACTGATGCCACAAATATTTGTTGATCGCCTTTTCTGAGCAAGGCTAGGCTCTGAGTGATCCAAGCACCAAATGGGTGAGAAGGCTGAGAATAAAATCACAGTGTCCTGCAGGAGGCATTGCTCTCTACCTATGTTAGTCATGTGACCAAAATGGACAGAAAAAGATTGCAGAACACCATTTTTCTTTGCTTGGTTACTAATATCTTCACTTACTATCATCATTTTAAGTTATAAACCTGTTAGCAGCTTGAAAATTTCACTGCTATTGATCGCTCCAAGTCAGCCTCAAGTGACCTGGGTGGTTAGCTCAACTTATAAAATATTTAAAATTAAATGTCTGAATTCCAGAAACCTAATCCTGTGGCACTTTGATTAAGAATCATCTGGAAAAGAAATACTCTTCTTAGCAGAAGCAGCCTGGAAGAGAAGCACTTGAAAGGGGATGGTAGCCCAAAATAGCGTGTGAGGAGTTCCCACTGAGATGAAGTGGATAAGGCACATATATTTTGTGTCTTTGCCTCACATACCCGCTCCAGAGATGTTGCTTCTCACTACAGAATTAATAAATCCTGAACTGGACAAACCCTACAACTTCCTTTAAAAAAAAAATTCCTTTTCTTTACTATCTGTGGTTTCACCTGGGCTAAGGTGAAACCTTCTTTTTTATCCAGCAAGTCCTTGGCTCACATTAGATAGTTGGAAATTTTGATGAACATTGCCACCCCATCCTCACGCTTCTCACTGTAGTCTTGTTTCCTTTTTTTAGAGCATTCTCTCTCCTGCCTGGTCCCACGTTCCTGTCCCTCCCCCATCCCTTTCCTTGTCCCACCCTTCCCACAACTGGGAAATTTCTACACACTTTTTAGGTCTGAGCTGAGTATCTCTGAAATCCTTCCCCCATTCTATAAGGCCTCCAGAATAGATTACTGCTTTTTCTCAGCACTCTCAGCCTATAGCCTAATGTCTCTATCACAGCATTTATCAAACTATGTCGATTGTTCTCTTTACTTATGCCAGAAGAGACCACATGAGTGTAGAGGTGATGTCTTATTCGCTACTGAGTACCCAGAATGTAATATTCACCCCATAATATTTATTGAATAAATGAATGAGTGGATATATCAGATGGAATGCATCTTCTCCATTATTTAGATGACCTACTTTACCAATTAGGAGAAATCAGTGAAATTTCCATTAACCATTCTTCATTTACCTACTTCTCTTCTCTCCTTTGTACTTGGGAATAGCTCCCAAGGAAATTCATCCCTCTTTCTAGCCAACTGTAGACATTCACACAGTACCTATTTTGAAACACAGGGCACTTCTTTAGTCCTTTAAGTCTGCGACATACTGGGAATGTTATAAACAATAGAAATTTATTTCTGAGAATCCTGAGGCTGAGAAGTCCAGGATCATGGTGTCAGCTGATTTGGCATCTGGTGAGAGGCAGCCTTCTGATTTACAGATGGTACTTTCATAACCATGTTTCCACACAGTGCAAGAGAAAGGTGGCACTCTAAAACCTCTTTTATAAGGGCACTAATTCCACTCATGAGGGCCCACCCTTGTGACCTAATAGCCTTCTGAAGGTTCCATCTCCTAATAACTAATGTCGTTAGTGATGGGAGCACTGGTGATTAGTTTTGAACATATAAAGTTTCAGATTACACATTTAGTTCATAGCAGATAGTTAACTCTAAATTAGATCCAAATGAATATACGCAAACATCACATCTAGGCCAAAACTTGAGACTTTGTGATAAACCAAAACATAAAGAGAAAATTCTAGTGAGTGATCACTGCATCTCCAAAGGGTGCTGATGCCATAAGAACTCTATATTTAATAGACAACCAGGGGTAATGGTGCATGGTTCTGCAAGCTGACTCTGTTTAACCCCAAGAAGTGCCATTTGCACAGACTACGACACAAATAGGGTTTGCTGGAGGAGTACCACAAAGCAGTTGTGGTGAAGCTATAGCCTGGGTATGACACTATGGGGAAAATCTACATTGTTTATTCTTTCCCTTTTTTTTGCAGGCTATGAAATAAATTATTTTTATCCTCTTCTGGTTGTAGAGAAAATTAACTATCAGTCACCCTTTTTCATCAGTTTTGTAACAATTTTCATCCTTTAACAAAACTAGAGAAAGACAAGTTCCTAAATTTTCAGGTGCAGTGAACAAAGGAAATAGCAATTACATTCATGCTGGTTGATGAAATCTGTATTTTTTGCAAAATGCAGAGAATAGTGTAATGGCAGTAAACTACTCAACCAACTCCATCACCATAGTCCTTCTTTTCTCCTTTTCTCATACTTGTTTAAATAAATGTTCAGAAAATAAGTTCAAGAAATTATTTCAATCAAAGTTTTAGTAAGCAGACTCCTAACCTAATCATGAGTTGCAAAAAATTGCAGTCTTTTAAGAAAATATAATGTGAAGATAATTTTTTAAAACCAAATAATAAGCCATGTATAGTGGCTCATGTCTGTAATCCTAGCTTCTCAGGAGGTGGAAATTAGGAGAATCGTAGCTCAAGGCCAGACTAGGAAAAATGTTCTCAAGACCTCCATCTCAACCAATAAAAGATAGGCAGAGTGGTGTGTGCCTGTCACCCCAGCTACACAGAAGCATAAATAGGAGGACCATGGTCCAAGCTAACCTGGGCATAAATGCAAGACCCAGTCAGAAAAATGCCTAAGGCAAAAAGGGCTGGGGGCATGGCTTAAGAGGTAGAGCACCTGCCTAGCAGTCACAGGCCGTGAATTCAAACTCCAGTACTGCCAAAATGATAGTAATAACAATCACCAAAAGTTTTTCTTGTAATATAGATTTTGATTTTGGCATATTTATTCTGTTCTTCTTTTCTTAATCATCTATCCCCTAGCTTGGAAACATTTTATAAACTTTAAATTAAATTCTTAATACCAGCTACTTTGAGAAATTACAGCTTCCTGCTACATTTAAAGGAAACCAAAAACCAAATGAAGATACTTTCTGAAAAATAAGTAGCCAATTTTTATGGACATTATGTGGATATTAATTCAAACAAACAGAAAATTTAACATGTCCAAGACACTTGGAAATTTGAAACCCTGCCTAATAGTAAGGAATTATTTTAATTTATAAGTATGATACTGTGATTATGTCTATGATTTTAAAAGATCTCTTATCTTTTATTGATACCTCCCTAAATATTCAGGAATGAAATTATTTGATTATCTAGTATTTGCTTTAGAATAATAAAAGAGGGGGGAAGTGATTTGACACTTAGGTAAAAGAAGATTGGCCATGAATTGATAATTGTGTGACAATTACATCGGGTGTTTCATTGTATAACATCTACTTGGCATATGTTTAAAATAATTCACAACATAAAGTTTCAATAAGAAGGAATTTTTTTTCTCTTCAAATAGTATGGACAGTTGAAGCCAAGGCAAATAACTGTCTTTCATTTTCCTAAGTCAAAGATTTTTAGAATGCAATTCATGAAAATCTTTCCCCTGGTGTTATGATAACCTGTTGCAATTGTTTAGGTGTATCTTCTTTGACATTAATTTAATTAACTCCTTTTAACATCCACTCAACTAAATGTATGTGTCTGAGAAGCATTTCATATTTTTTTTAGGATTGTGGAAAAAGGATATTATAGCGAGCGGGATGCTGCAGATGCTGTTAAACAAATCCTGGAGGCAGTGGCTGTAAGTAAGAAGTAACAACAGTCATCTCTTCCTCTACGCTCATAATTAAGGGAATGCGGTAACATTTAAAGCAAAACTGCATGAAATATTTACTAGGACATATGCTTAATAAATTCACATTTTCTATTAATCACTCAAACTCTGAAAGACGCAGTCCCTCAAGCCATGCCACATTTTTTCTTTTATTATTCATATGTACATACAAGGCTTGGTTCATTTCTCCCCCCTGCCCCCACCCCCTCCCTTACCACCCACTCCACCCCCTCCCTCTCCCCCCCACCCCTCAATACCCAGCAGAAACTATTTTGCCCTTATCTCTAATTTTGTTGTAGAGAGAGTATAAGCAGTAATAGGAAGGAACAAGGGTTTTTGCTGGTTGAGATAAGGAGAGCTATACAGGGCGTTGACTCACATTGATTTCCTGTGCGTGTTAAAATGCCGTCCACTGCATTGCTGTGAGACCACACAGACCCCCGTGTTTTTAGTTGTTCCTTATCTCTTTCTTTCCCATTTCTTGAGTTTGCTTCTTTATTGTTTTTGTTCTTTTGTAATTTTGTGGGGAAGTGGAGAAAGGATGAATGAGGTAAATAGAGGCCCTGACCATTAGGGATTATTGAGTTTTCTTTTAAGACAAGAAATGAGTGAATTAGAAGGAAAAAAATGTGTCAGTTTTAATTTTTACAAGGAAGAAATACAAATCAAAATTTAATACTAGAATGCAAATTTTATAAATTGATGGTGGAAATAAATGCACACAGATTTATGGACATATAATTTTGAGAACCTTATTTGGATTTCAGGTAATATCTGCCTAGACAAAAAAGATTACATGGGTTAAAGCTTTCACATATATTTAATGGGGTCTAACATATGCTGGGATACCTTGGTAATTTGTTTACTGACCATAAAGTCCAAACAAATTATTCTCTGAACAAACAGAGCAGGGTTTAAGGAAGGAGGTTTATCAGAATTAGTTAAAAAGACAAATCTATAAAATATGCCTAGAACTGAGATATATGTTACTATTCAGAATTAGTTATTTAATTATAGAATTATTATTCAATACCTTGATAAATCAGTCAGTGACAAAAGCACATGTCCTACTAATTTTACCCACAAGAAAAACAAGAAGAGGAGGAAAGAGAGAAGGGACAAAGAAGAGGAGAGGGAGAAAAGGATAGGGAGCAAGAGAGGAAGGACCGTGATATCTATCTCACTTGTCTACCAATGATGAAAAAGGAAAAAAAATAAAAGATTGTGAAATCTTTACACAGGTTACTAGGAATAGTCAGTTTATGGTCTAATTCCTTTACTGAACTGTCATTACCAAGTTCAACTGGCTTGATAGCCCAGACTTTTCAAATTACTTCTTCCCTTAAAAGTGTTTGACTGGTCTTTTGTTATGGTGGAATAAAAAGTTTAAAATGAGAGTAAAAAACACTGGAGAAGACAATATAAATTTTACTCTAAGTTTGCAACATATGTCTTGATTATATAAATATGGAATGTCAAATTTGCTTTCTTACTGGACCCAAAATAGTCACCTTATTCCCTATTTTTTAATCACCCTAGTTTCCTAGGCTTACAAGCTTGGAAATGGTTTTCAACGCTTTCATTCCATTCTTTCCTCATAGTTGGCCTAACTTATGTTGGATCTTCCTTCAAGTGTCCACAAACCTAATCCTACTCCTTATCTTGCTGTGACTGTTTCTGGTTTGCCTTTTAGAAAGGTACGCCTTTTTTTTCAATTCCTACTTTGAAGCATATGTCCAGAATCATCTCTCGCAATTACTATTTATATTTTGACACTTCTTAGTTCAATAATAGCAATTTTATTCCTTCCTTAAATCCCCATTTTAAAACTTCCTTTCTTCTTATTATACACCATAGTACGTCTATTCAAGTAAATGCTTACAAATGACCCACATCACTTTGTTTAAATTAGGCAGGCAGCAATTAAGAGTACTTTCAGATTCAAACAGATCTGGCTTTAATTTAGATATTCAGCCATGGACACATCACTAAACATCTTTGAACCTTAATTCCCTCTTGGAAAACAGAAACATTGAACCTAACAGGGTTGTGGGAAAGATTAAGTGACATAATATATGGAAATCATATCAGTGCTCAAAAGAGGAGAAGCAACTTCAGACTCACTGCATTCATTTAAAGATTTATTAGATGTAAGTCTATTCAAATACATTATCTGATTGCACAGATAACTTCAATTTGTGGAAATTCAGTACACTTTTGTGTGCTTTTTTGTATGAATATTATACCAATAAAAAAGGTTTAAAAAGGAAGTGTGCTGACAATTTAGTATGTATTCATAGTTGTAACAGGATAGCACACTGTATTACCCAACTAGATTCATGTACTTCTGTGTTTCTGGTTCTATCATATTCTGTTGTCCATCAGACAGACTGACCCCCTACCCAACCTCCAGGGACAATAGTACATTGTGTTCTTGTACCACATGAGACAGTGGGGAGAGAATGTGATAAGGAAATAGATGTGTCTCTAAGGTCACCACCACCCTCTTCTTATGTTCTTCCACTGATAAGACACTATTGCAAAATGAGACAGTCTTCAAAGTAATTCTGAGTGCTTCTAGTTTCCATCTCAGTGCAAGTAGTCAGGATGGGTTTACAAAGGATACAAAGGCATGTGAACAAACCCAGCCAAGCAGCCAGACAGCAGTCCTGTCTTTCCTTCACCCATTCTGCTTTTTTCTCATCTCTCTTCCAACCAACTTTCTTTACATCTCAGACTCAGAAAGTAACATGTGGTCAACATTAACATCTTACAGTAAAAACCTAAGTCTGAGTAATTCTTCAAAAATGAAACAAATGCCACTTGATGTTAATTCCAAATTTCAAGACAGAAGCTACATTTGACTCAACTGAGTCAGGTGTCCTTCCCTAGACCAATCACCTGTGGACAGGGAAACAAGTGTGGAATATAAATATGGCCAGCCTAGGATTGGGGACATAGGTGTAGGGAGGGTGGGGTTGTTCTCAGGCACCAAGTGACACACCCAGAGGCCCACCTTTTATCACTATCTGTTCTGCTAGGTTTCTTCATATTCCTCTTCATTCCTGAATTTCTACTGCATCCTAGAGACAGTTTTGAATGACAATGTTGCTTGCCACAAAAGCATGATTTCACTTTGAATAAGATTTTACTTTTGGCAGGAGCCCTACCTGTTTGTCACACAAGAACAACATTTTCTATGGTCAACTTTATTCATTCCTCACATTTCCACATTTCCCATCTCTGTCCTTCAAAGCATCAGTTTTACAGTAGATGCATAACGTGTAAAGATTGTCTTTGTCCCTTACAATGCTCCCCCAACTTGTTTTCCTTTTGGTAAGTGATAGTACTATGCACAATTATTCACTAAAATTCTAGTGTTCACCCTCGATGTGATTACCTCACTTCCAAATAATCCCATCAATATGTCCTGCTAAATTACAAGATGAATTTTACCACTTTCTTCACTTTCACTAAGTCCTAGTTTGGGTCTCCATCATCTCACACTCATACTGCTGTGAACTTTTTAAGTAGGCAGCCTGCTTCTACTACTTAATGTCCATTTCCCTCACCTCACCCAGAACTGCCATTGAAATCATCAGCCAATCTTCTATTCCTGTGTTTATACCACCAATGGCATCCCATTGAAAGTTAGAATGAAAGCAAAATTCCTTAACATACCGTGGAATATCCTATGTTTTTAGGCTCCTTTCCACCATCCCCATGTTACTGCATGGTTTTCACAGTTTTTACTGCTTGAGACACACTGTTCTTTTTTTCTAACCCTGAGGTATCTAAGTTAATTCCCGTGGGGGAGAGGGCTTGTTTGTTTTGTGCTTGGAACATTCATTCTTTCATCACATTTTTTTTTTTCCGGTACTGGGGTTTGAACTCAAGGCCTTCACCTTGAGCCACTCCACCAGCCCTATTTTTTGTGAAGGGTTTTTCGAAATAGGGTCTCTCAAACTATTTGCCCTGGCTGACTTCAAATTGCGATCCTTCTGATCTCTGCCTCCTGAGTAGCTAGGATTACAGGCGTGAGCCACTGGCACCCAGCTCTTTCATCACATTTTTTATGGCTCAGTTTCTTACTTACTGCTGAAGAATCACCTCCTTAGAGTGACTGTCCTGACCACTGTACCTAAAATACTGCCCACCACTTCCTTTTCAAGCTACCCTCAATTCCATTACCATTTGTAATTGTCTTTTTGCACTTAAAATTATCTGAAATTATACATTATTTGTGTTTAATATTTATCATAATGCCCTAAAAAGTAGAAATTTTGTGTGTTGCTCTTCTATTCCCAGTGTCTAAAAGAGTGTCTAATGGTAGTGGATGTTCAATTAATATTTACTGAACAAGTAAATGCAAGTTGATGAAACACTCCAACAGCCAGCATTGTATATTTTATATTTCTAGATGTTGATACATGTCTTGACCATCTTTATTATCATACATCTACTCATTTCATTTGACAGAAAGTGATACAACTTGCTTCCATGCATGGAATTAGTTTTTGGCTCCATCGTTATCATTCTGTTCCTTTCCTGTCATTCTAACTCTGCATTCCTTTGTATGTTCTTTCTGTTTGCCTCCATCCATTTAGATAAGTTCTTAATTGTTCTGGTTTATCACAATGAGTTTACATCAATTTGGTAAGGCCAGAGGAAGCTGACAGAGGAAATTCTGTTCTCACTTAGTCAATGAACAATGGAATTGTCAATGAAAGAAATGAAATTTTGTACCTATTGGACTTATACCATTTAAGAAAAAAGGGGCCAGGGGCCAGTGGCGGCTGTCTGTAGCCTAGCTATACTTGGGAGGCTGAGATCTGGAGGAATGCAATTTGAAGTTAGACAAGACGTTTGTGAGATCCCATCATAACCAATAGCTGGGTGTGGTGGCAACATCTGTCATCCCAAACTATGCGGAAGGCTGAGGTGGGAGATTAGCAGTTCCAGGCCAG